TTAATTTTCCTTTTAATTGATCGATACTATTTGGCATTCGTATTCGAATTTCCAGTTTTAATTAGGATAGATCTACGATCGCATCGTCGCAGCGGGATCGTACACGTGCATACAAACGTTCGTACAAACGATCCGGCCTGGGTTTCGAGGCTGTTACGCTGCGTTAACAAGGAATTTCGTGCCGGTTAAATGTTATTAATGTTACACGCGCGGTTCCCTCGAAACTTCTCGTAAATAATCGTTTAATTACACGCGATTGTCGTTTGATATGCGCGGTTTGGAACGCGTTGTAACCGGCCGTATCTTTCGCATCGATGGGCCCGCAGTTTTGTCGGCCGTGTGTGTTAATCGATGCTCTTGTAACGCGACCCGTTGCACCATTCGTCGCGATATTTTTTTTCCAGCTCGTACGCTACGCTCGTACGTAATTATTTTCAATTATTCCAACTTCGTTCGCGTTGCGCGCGATCACACGCTCGGCCACGTTAGAATTTTTTATGCAGGAGCTTTAAGTATAATTGAGCTATTATGTTCAAGCTTCATTCATTCAATAATGCACGTCGCGGGATTTCATAACACCGAATAACGATTACGCGTTGCTTGGTTAAGTGATATAATCTACGTCTTAGTCTCAGAGCGTAAGTAGTATAGCCCGTGCTTTGTCAGGCGAGTTTCTTTCAAACTCAGATCTGTATTGGCGCGTAGACTTACTTTTCAATGAAATACAAAGTTTAATATATTTAAAGTGTAGAACAACGTATTTTAATTTTGAGTCCCTACTCTTCATTATCATGTATCGCAAATTAAAGTTTTCCGAGGTTTTGTGTATGGAAACATTAGCTTTCGTATATTTATGAAATATATAATGTCCCGACTTAGGTAAATTCGCAATAAATCTCGAAAATTTCAACTACTAGCACGTACGAACATTAATTAGACAATATTAATTAGACTCGGCATTGACAGCAAATGTTTTGGTTTGTTTTCATATTCTTTAATATATCGTTCATACTTTTATAGTTTATTATGTCCGAGCAAATCCTACTGCATGATGTTTCATTTACAAAGTAACACTGTATAAATATATATAATTTGTAAATTGCTTAACTTCGTAAGAAATTGCAATATTTATTATATACGTATAATAATAATAAATGTTGCAATTTATTACGAAATTACAAACTCGACTTACGTAAAATTCAAGTTTACGTAAAGATTTACGGAACGCATTTTAATCATAAAGAATATGAAAAAATGAACTTTTTGTATATAAAAAGATGCAGAGTTGTTGCACGTTTGTTGATCGAGAAATAAATTTTTTGTTGAAATTCCTGACGTTCCTGTGCTCTCCGGCGGATTTTCCTTCGTCTCGTCAACTTTCCTCTCCGTGTTCAAGATCCCCACGGCCCAACTGTAATCGACTCTGAAGAATCGATTGCCCACTGAATATGCCCGACAGAGAGTCTCGGCGATAACGGCGCTCATTTCGAAATCTTTCGGAGCTGTCGTTCGACTTTCGAACTCGCGTTCGTCACTTGGCCGTGTCCTTGTTCTCGCGCTTGTACTCTCCCACGGGAGAGATTCGGTTTCCCGTGGACGAGGCGCTTCCTTCTTGCTCGTTACCTGGCACACCGCCACGCGTTAACGAGGGAACAAGATGAAACTTTGCCGATAGATATCCCCTCGGCCGCGAGATCCTCGGTGGCACACGCTCCTCCGGAGACCGGGATATTCACAGCATTGATGTGACATCACGTACAACGCCGAGGGTTGAACATTCGCTGCGGTTGAACATTCGTGCTCCTCTGTCCAAGGCCGACCATCAGTGTCGCCGGATCTGTTTCGTCACGGGACAGAAACTGTCTTTCAACGCGGACGGTGGTTTGGCGGATTGCTCGCTAACTCGTACGACGACGGCAGCCATGCTTGTTTCCGTGGAATTGAATCGCGTTGTTATCGATCGACTTTCAAGAAAGTATTTTTTCGAAATTTCTTTATTATTTCCTTTAAAGTATTTTTTTTTTTTTTTTAACACTAGAACTACCGACAGTTGAGACGTAGCTATCTCTACCAAAACC